TGCCTCTGTTCAGAGGTTATATTATTGAGTTTGTCATGCACTGGAATCCATACATAGTCTCGCACTTTCCTTTTATCTTTGTCTCAGTCACTCACTTTTGAAACTTGAAATTACTTACATGTAGGACTCCTAGAATATCATCTGAGTTCTGAGCAATGCATTCAGCAATGGTCATGGAACTTTAGAGGAGCGTTATATTAGCCCCACATCAAGGGTGGCTTGCAAAGCTAATTTTAATTTTGCACAGTGTGATCTGTTTGGTCCTGGCCACGTTAAAATACCAGGGGACAAAAATATGCTGTGGGGCCCCTTTTTGACCCCCTACCCCAGCTCCTCACTGCATTGTGTTTGTTCCCTGATGCTTTCAAATAGGCTTCCAGAGCAGTGTGCAGAGGAAACTGCACATGGCAGCATCTAGTGTTGCTTACTCCTTAAAAAGGCTGTAAATCAAACAGCCAAAATCCACCAGACCCACAGTGAACAAAGGCTTTATTTTCTGGGGTGGGGGTGCTAAATGTCTGTAGCCCCAGGTCATTTGCCTGCTTTACTCAGTTGTAAGTCAGGCCATGGATAACTGAGGCTGTACAAACAGCTCCCTTCTTCAGTAAAACATTTAACTCTCCCATAACTCAACTGAATGAATTCACATGAGCTCTCATTGCCATTTGCCTATAAATCTCGAAACTAAGAAAAGACAGTTGCTTTTCTGGAAATATTAAATGAATTCATCATAAACTATCCACCAGAACTGGTTTCTGAATAAATTTGTATTGAGAAAGTGATCATATAAATGCAGAATATACATTAACAGATAAACAGTACCACTCCTAGATTTATAATCTGTTGCATACTGTAGTTTTTCCATCTAAACACTGACTGACTGGTCAATCACAAGCTGGTTTTAGATGTCAATTGGCTGTTTTCCCAACACACATTTTCAGCAAAAAATAAAGCTGATGAAATGAATTCCTGTGTAGTATATGAGGCTACCGCTCATATAGCCTCCTTCTGGAGGCATGACTGAAAGCTCTCTGAACCTCTCCTGCTAGACTCTGAAGCTGAGGATGAGCCAGAGGGCCGATCAGAAGGCGACCACTGGCGCGGACCCGCTCCTGCAGTGGAGGAAAAGTCGAGGTGAGATTAGCAGCTGTTGTTCATATTAAATCACACCCGTAAGCAGCTGTAAAACCATCACAGTCTTAACCACTTAGCCTACATAGGTTACTGATCTCTATATAACACAAAGTCAAGAAAACACACTCAGTAATCTCACTGTAGTGGTTCTGACACATTGCACTGACTACAAATTGCTTGAGCTGAGAATGAGCCAGATTCTCTAATGTATGAAAAGATAATTGTGTTGGAGATGAATATCATGTTTTAGTTAAATGTAAAAAAATGAAACAAAGAAATGTGCCACATTTCACACCTGTGCCACACACGTGCTAAAAATGATGTGTAAATTAGGTGTATGTTTGTTCATCCTGTACCTGTACTCCACATCATCTCATATTGTTTACAGTAAAAAAGCCTAGTTAGAGGCCACCCATAGAAAAAAACATTGTCAGCTGTGCATATGACACATTTCTGTGATTTTGTCCTTCTGCTTAGGGATGAGGAGTTTGACGAGTACTTTGAAGACATGTTTCTCTGACTCGGCTGGTATCAGTGGCATCCCTGCTGGGACCGTGCTTCCCTCTAACATTAGGCATGATCTTTTTGAGCCTTGTGAACATGTGGGTGTATTTGACTGTTTCATTACTGCTACAGAAATAAACAGCCTAATGTACAACGTCCCTGTCAGCCATGCGTTTACATGTCTGTCTCCATTTCAATACCACCACCATCACTGTGGAAAATAATCTAAGTTGTGTAGTTTCAGTAGCAGCTTATAGAGACAGTTTCCATCTGTCGTTTTGTCCAGACTCAAATATATCCACAAATTTTGGATGGATTAGCATAAAATTTAGAGCAGACATTTACACTATGTCCCTTTAGGGTCAATTATAATTACTTTATTTTGAAATTATATAAATGTTTTAATTTTCTTTTCTCTCAGTATTTGTGAAATTGTCAACACATAATCGTCTTTTTTTGCATCAGATTCTCCCTGTTGTTTTTAGCATACTGTACATTCATTCTGATCTGTTGCCTAAAGGCCTTTTTATGTTAATTTGGCTTAAGGTGTTCTGCAAAAACTTTGCCTAAGCCTGTCTATGGCAGGGAAAACCCTGAAATTGTTGTAATATGAAAGAGTCAAGCACTCTGCTCTTACAAAAAGACAACAAGAATTAGCTTGTCCCTCAGGCCAAGGGCATATCCACTGCTTGCAGAGAGGGGAACTGCGTGAGGTTGCTGGGAGATTATAGACCTTAGCTTAAATAAAAGCAGTTACTTTTCCTCTTACTGCCCTGTTGCCTTTTAACTTTGCTGTTTTCTCATAGGAATTTCTATGTCATCTATGGCAATGAAAGGCAACAGGTGATTAGGTGCAGAAAACATATACTGTATACTGTAGAAAACAGCTTGTTTTTGAGTGGAGGTGTAAGATGATTCAGCCCCTGGCTATACTTACACACCTGGCTGTGTTTACAGTTGATCAGTTGTGCTGGTAACATCTGTTTAAAATCCTTCCCTGCATATGTGTGTGCATTTAGGGCCCTTATGACATGCATTAATGCTCTTCTTGAAAAACAGTTTGCATTTGATTAGAAAATTGAATTAGCTTGTTAAAATTTCTACTGTTCCTCCCTCAATGAAAAATCCAGAACCAGTATGTAACGTTTAACTATCTCCTACTTGACTGAAAACCAGTGGAGGTTGGTCATTTTGATGTAGGGGATAACAAGCTGAACTGTCCTACAAATTGGACCTCCGTAGCGTCTTGCACTCAGACTGCACACATACTGGAGTGGTTTGCTGCTTTTCATCTCAGATATTTTCAGTCCTTTCAGAGAGTGACATTTGTCTTCTAAGTTAATGGTACTACCATTACTACGATTACATAACACCATGCAGTCTCCGACTTTCTGCATGCAGAATCTGCAGATGGCAGGACACGGGCTGTTGGACAACGCAGCCAGACAACATTGCATCGGGCAGGGATCAGAAGCAATCCACTGATCCTCTTTTCCCCAGAGGCTCATCCAGCTTTTGTGCTTCTGAGATCCCCGCACGATATATGATTAAGAACAAGTACTGCTGCAGCTAAACCCAGGGTTTCTTAAGTTCATGTCGCCCTGTGCTTGATTCAAGTGTGAGTAAGGGATCAATTGTCTCCTTTATACTTTCTTGTGCATTTTTAGAAAAGCTGTCTCTTCTTGCCCCGCCATAAATTCCTTTATTTGCTTAAAAATATTACATCTCGACACATACATACAATAGACATCATTTCATATGTCAAACTATTGATTTCTAATGTCTGAATGACAGTTGCTTGGGAAAGTATACTGTGCATATTTGGTAATTGTAAAAGTATCCTTCAAGGAAAAACAAGGAGCTACTGTTCTCACTGGAGACTGAACTGGTAGTTTAACCATTCAGATAAAATGAGTGCTTAAGGAACACTGATATCTCCCAGGGGTTGATTCAGTTGATGTTTGGTCTCCAGTGATAACAAAAGCTCTTCACTTCACCTCAAGCAGCAGAAAAAAAAGGGCTTACAGGTAGTCCAGGAGCTATTCTGATAGGATTAAGTGCCTTTGATCGATGCCCCATTGATTAGGCATGATGACATTATGTAACAGGAAGTTCAATTCAGGTTTACATGGAGAGATTTTGCTTTTGTGGGGAAATTCACACCAAGTTGACATCAAATGACATTTACTGTGCGATTCATCTAACTGTTGGATCAGTTAAAACATGGGGATGACTTTGTCCTGAACCGTCATACAATCACAATAGCTACATCTTACCGTACATGAGGCTTTGGTGGCCTGATATACCTCCTCTTTAAGAAGGGTAAAGGTTAAAGCTGCGTGGATGTCAAATGTTGGCTGGCTCCTTTCAAACTGTCCTACAGGAAAGTCAGATCTACTGTACGCTGTGACTGTGACTCTAGGTTGCTTTTACATCCTTTAAATCAATTTTATGCTTCAGGTATTATTAAGTTTACACAATTTACATTTTACAGTTGCTAAGTCAAACTATATAGATGTGAAACTGTGCATGTTTAAAAGACCTTAGTTTGTGAATCAATGTGGAATTGTAGGTTTGCACTAAACAGTGATGTAAATATTGTGTTTTGGGTTATTTTCCCAGGTAGATGAACAATAAGGAACACAGCTAACGGGTGTTAATCAAAGCTGGCAATAAAGCTGCACAAATTCAAAGTATATTCTCTTCTGAATATGAGTTTAGCATGCATTTATTCACAAATTTAGAACCTCCTCTCTCAAAGCTCATCTCAAACTCTCTATCCATAAAGACGGTTCAAGTACAAAATCCTCAGCATCAAAAAATGTGTATGTAGATAGATTGCATATTAAAATAACTACACCCTCACATAGCTCATCAGCGCCTTTGAGGTAAGAAAACATCAGCCCTTGTTGAGCGTTATCACTCGTAACAGATCCCTCAAAATGCAGTTTTCCCTCCTTTCATGAAGCTTATTTCACATCTCATTAAATGTTACCCACACTATTTAAACCAATAACAGAATTGTAACCCAGCTCCTTGTATCCCTGTAAGTATAACGTTACATGGTGTTGGTCCCTCGGCTGCCCTCCCGCCCTCTGATCATGGCCTGCCACTGCCAAAACAGCAGCAGCTAAGTGCAATGTGCAACCTACAGAACTACTTTACTGTTCCTGCTGCTCACCAATAGGAAAACTGTATGAGACCTACAGTATTTGCTTTGGCATGTTTACACATTACATGCAGCACATCCAGTACCCTATTTCAGCTATGTAAACTAAAGAGTTTTTATCTGACCTTAGCTTCATTTAGAACATTTGATTACAGGTTGTCCAAACATGCTTTCAAGCCATATTAAATGTTTCAGTTACATTTCTGTGTGTTCAAGCTGTGTTCAATAAAAATAAATGTTGTCCGTGAATATATTGCTTTTAAATGTTCATGGCTGTGTGCTGTACAAAACAGAGGAAGAGGGAGGTTTCAAATACATCTTCAGAGTCGAACGGTTTCTCTTGTAGTCAGTCCCACCATTATTCTCGATGATGTTTCTGATTCTTCCCTCCTTGGAGAATAGTTAGGCTGGCCTAATCCAGACTAGACCTGACTACACTAGATTAAAATAGGCTAGACTGAACCAGACCAGACCAAACAGAGCTGCACCAAAGTGGACAGCATTTAACCACAGATAACCTAACTGGTGTAGACCTAACTAGACCAAGCTAGCCTAGCAAAGATCCAACTGCATGTCTTGTTAGACCAGAATAGGCTAGTGTAGTCTAAGTGAGTCCTAACCAGATGTCATTAGTCCAGATCCAAGCACTGGAAGGATTTAGCAGATGGTGCAAGTCTTTGACTTCCCTCCATCGCCACCTGTTAGATGTAATACATAAAATGTATGGATATATCATCATTCTAGATCTTCAGCTAGACCGATATAAGGACAGAAGAAAATGTTTTACCTCTCTTGGCTTCCTCTTCCAGTTTTTTCTTATCCTCAATGGCCTTCATCTTTGCATTGTATTTCTCAGCCAGCTCATTCCAGTGTGCCCTGTTGTTGTTCAGACCATCATACATTGGCTGGATCTCTTTGTGGAACCTGGAAAACTCCTGATAAATGAAAGAAAACACACTGAATGATAAGTATGTTATTCACAGTGTGGGATATGTACTATAGAAGGAGCACAACTTAGAAGGGCATTTTAGCCTCAAAATAATATGGTATGCCTTTTGGAGCACCTTCCCACGGGGACAACCAACATATTCTTTGTTATGGATGTAGCATACGTGTGTGTTCTTGTCCAAATACCATTCTCACAAACATCTAGCTAACATTCCTGTTGGGGCATGCTCAGTTCAACAGTTTGATCTGCTATCCTACAACAACAACTCTCTAAAGCTTATAATGAGACCATATGAGAAATGACTTAACTCAGTTATTTTGTAGTCTGTAGGAATGTGTTTTATTAGACATGCTCTAGTGTTTTTCAGCTCTACTACCACAGGATTGAATCTACATCCTTCTGACAGTCTCATCAAAAATTAAACATATACAACTGATTTTACAGATTACTTTTCATTTCACAATTGGAGGCGAGCTTGAAAATAAATACGCTTTGAGGCTAGAGGTCACACTTAAACTAAGCCCTTTGAGTAAAGTTAATGATTCAGTTTAGCTAATTTTATAGTTTACATTTGTTGAGCTAATTATTTCAGAAAGTATCACAATCGATTCAACTCAACTGTATCAAAACAGTTCATGGACAGACTCACTTTTAAAGTGCTTTGCTTCCCTTTGCTGAAAATCAGTGGGTGTATTTAAATTCCAGCTCTTACTGATGAATTGTTGCAAAATATATATATATATTTTTTTTTTTTACCTTGTATACAAATGAGCACACAAAGTCGATGAAGCCACATTGCATCTTGGGCAGCTCATCGGCACAGTTTCTGTCCATCATGGGCTGAGAGGGAGGGAAAAGAGATGTTCAGGTGAAACGGGGGTAAACAGTTGTTCTACCTACACAAGGAACCTTGAAAATAATAATAAATTGTAAAACAAAAAGACCAAAAAAGACGGCACAACTCTTACAATTGGTTGTTGGTCCAAAACATTTCTCTCCAAATCTCCCTGTTCCCAGAATTCAGCAGCAACCATCAGAGCCACCTGATGGGGAAGACAGACAGATGGCAAAGGGAAATAAAGACAGCAGATGCTTAGCAAAAGTAAAACCTAATAACATTAGAAAAACAATGGCTTTAATCTTGCTATGGTTATTTTCAAACTATTCCAGCCTACACCACTTACATTACAACATAGCAGCTCTTCTGCTAGCTATAAATATGGAACCTAATCCTCCGTAAAGCTTTTCACATCGTCGTCAGAGTAACAAAAATACTGTAGTATAATTGACCTACTAGAGAACAAAAGTGTTTCTCTTCTTATTGTCATGTTTTTTTTTTTTAACTTCTTTTTGGATGTAATAAGCTGATAAAAGGCTGAAGACAGGCAGGATAAGATGGATGTAAACCAGTAGTTCTTAGCAGAAAAAAAACATGTTAAAAACCTTTTATTTACTATATATTATTTGCTCCTGTGCTTTCTGTGTGTTTTAGCTTCCTGCAAGCCTCACTCTATTTTCAGATCAGCTATGAGGACCACCCACCTTGCTCTGTACCTCCCAGGGTTTGGTGATAGCTGACAAATCACAGCCTGTCATCATCATGGCCCTGCAAGGTGAGAGACATAAAGTCACGGAAGAGAAGGTGACCCCCTGGTAGAGATGCTGATGATTTGCAGTGTTGTGCTGTGCCAGAAGTAAACTGCACAGCTGCGTTAGCTTCCGCGTCGATTCAGTTACATACATGACAATTTCCTTCCTGGTGGGATTGTTGGCAATGTAAGCAGTGGCCTCCTTTTCATCTGTCATTGGCTCTGTGGCATTCACAATGTTTTGGAACATGGTTCTCTTTCTGCATGAAGACAAATAGATGAGATAGTGGACAGATCAAACTAACTAAACAAATACAGTAAGTGATTCCACAAAACTTATTGAGCCAGTCTTTCACTAACTGGCAGCTAGCATGGTAGCTGCTGGCAGTTTTAAGTGCAGTTCTTTTAGTAAACCTACTTGAAGTAAAGGGCCAGATCAGTGGCAATGATGCAGACATCAAACAAGTGTTGCACATTCTCAAACTGACGCTTCTGGAGGTTACAAAAGATGTTCAGACTCTGCAAGAGAAAACAAGGAGCAGTCTAAATAAGTCCCTTTTCCTGGGTAATTCCATTATTTAAATTTTTTTTTTGACCAATGATGTGTTGTACTTCTTCTGCCATGAGTGTCTTGCTGTACTCCAAGTGGTGCCTCTCCATAATGGAAGAGCCGTGAAGTTTGGCCAGAGGAGATGAACTCCTACAGAAAAATGAGATGACAAAGGATAGGAAAATACACACAGGTGTTTAACACATGCACACATTCCTCCACACATACAGAAAAACAGATTGGAATTTACTTTGTCTGGTAGAGATTGTTGGTTCCTCTGTGGTCGATATCGTGGCAGAAGGCAGCAGCCACCATGGCAAAAGCATCTAGGTCAGAGTAGTACTTTTTCAGCTTCCCTGTCTATAGGAATAAGAGAGAAGTTGTGGACAATGCACAATCTATTCTGTCCATGATAAAAAAAAAAACTTTTACTGCCATTTGTAGCCTGAGTCTAAACCATTTGAACCCAGAAACTCCAAAGTAATGGGATCTGTCAATATTCATTTTAAGCACAATAATGTCCTGTGATGTGCTAATGTTATTAAAATGCTCAATGTGAACCGTATTTTACCTATAATGGTGCAAATGTCAACTTCATGGAAAAATAAATCATGTTATGGGCCTATATAAGTGGTTTACTTTCTTATAAAACTGCTACCACTGTTAGACTGTCACTGCATGTATCGTGTTACATACTGTGCCACAATGTTGGAAAATAAGTACATTTACTCAAGTACCGTACTTGAGTATCTTCATTTTGTGCTACTTCACAAATGTAACTCCTATTTGTAAGCTTTGAGGTTTGGGTTTACAGTAGATGGTGTGCAGGTGCTACCTGCAGCAGGCAGAACATGGTGTGGCCCACATTAAAGCCATGCCTCCAGTTGTGGTAGGTGATGGCACGGTAACCCTTCCTCACTGTGTACATCCACCTGGTCAGCGTCTGAGAGGCAGAGAGGACGAGGGCAGGATTATTCATAGAATATAGCAAGAGACAAAGTGATAACCGTGGAAAACTGTATCATTTCAGAGCTGTGGCCATGACCCAATGTGATGTAGCCATGTTTGAAAAGTGCCTAAGGAAACCCACTTGGCCTTTGTAGCTACACTGCAGAGCACATTATCACTCATATTTGTAGGTACAGCATGGTATGCTGGGAGAGGCTAAATAAGGATCACATCATCTTCTCCCTTTCCAGTTTGCCAGTCACCCTATGAGATTCACTGATGAGGCTGAAAATTCTACTTCTCTAAGACTCACTGCTTCTCTTGTTGACGTAGGCGTCTGGCTTACCTCTGCAGGAACTTTAAACTTTTCAACAACCCCAAGCTCAAAGAATATGCGAATGCCGGCTTTGATGAGATCGAACTCTGACATGGGGAAGTCACTGAATGCGAACGAGTACAAATTCTCTCCATTGACGTTGTCAGCTGGAGGGCAGGTTGCTCTCTGTGCAAAAGCCACACAGAAGCCATCCATGAATTCATCAAAACTCCAAAAGTACAGATTGCTATGTGAACAGCATTTGAGTGTTTATTAAGTGACACGATTAAGACAGAAATGAAGAAAATTATCTTACATCAGTGGAATTATTTGCATGTGCATGCGATGACTAATAATGATACAGCATGTAGCTTTGAAGTTTCTGTCATGATGGTTTGAAGAAGACATACCAGTAGTTTGTACATGTCTTTCTGGTCACAGTCTTCAGGCTCTGACTCAAACTTCTCTTTGGTGTTCTGGTTATTAAAGAGAACAATAATGTTAAAAGTTTCCATCATCAACAACAATTTACAGCTTGAATTTCTAGATCGACAACAAAAAGCAGAAAACATAAAACTATCATGTTTTCCGACACCTCAGAGAAGTGCTCCAAGCAGTAACCTTGCTGCCAAGTGGATAAATTATCAAGCAGACCTTCTATTAGTCCTCTAATAACTAATACTGGAGCACTGCTACTCAAAAAGCTACTCATGCTGCATTAACCTTTGACTGCTTTTGATTCCTGCCTGAGTGCCTTCTTGAGCAAATGTTGAGATCAAATGTAGGCTCTCTGAAGAGTAAGTGTGGACGAAAGCCACACTGATACTGACCAGAATGGACTGCAGCTCGTTTTCGGTGCATTTGGTCTGGTACATGAGCATCTCCTGGGCAATGTCTTTCCTGTACTCCATACGATTCAGCTTGTCGTAGGTGTCACAGTTCAGCACTGACCACCCCAGGAACTGTGTCAGGGCCTGGAACAAACAATGAGAATGATAAAGGAAGACAGAAATGAAACAGGTCAAAAGAAGGTGCCAGTCAACTGTCCCCCCTCCATTAAAGTGCTAACCTCAGTGATCTGTTCATCATGTTCATCAAATGGCTTGCCATCTTTCCTGTTGAAGAAAGTGGCGATGCCCACAATTTCTTCCTTCTTATTGACAATGGGCAGTGACAAGACGTTTTTGATGACAAAACCTGTTTCATCCACAGCCGCTTTCTGAAAGGCAGGGGAGTATTATGTTACAAGCCAGGGCCCCATTCTCCCTGAATACAAGCCTTACAGCAGTATGAAATTAAATCTGCATAGTAGTGGTCTCTCTCTCTCTCTCTCTCTCTCTCTCTA